ATGGATCTTTTCTGGAACGACCCAATCTTGCATATCCCAATATTTTATGCCTATATACACATAATGAAACATAGCCACATGTCAGCGATTATTGGGAAACTTTAGACTTTGTTAATGCTTTCCTTTTCCTTGCCTCAGGCTTACACTTGCCTCAGGGACAAATGTATACTTAACCCTTTAAATAAGTGACAAGTGTGCCAAGATGCACCCCACTTTACTACATGTATTTTATTATTCTGTCTAACACCACAGGATTTTACTCATCAGGGGGAGAGTGCTGCCACTCAATGGGTTATTCACAAACAAATCCAGAAATTCTACAGTCAAACCGGATGTTCTCTTGCAAGCAACATTGATAGGGAGATTGCTCTTAGCAATTTGCAAGCAACAAGAACAAATTGTGAGTTGAAATTCACAAAAGATTTGTAAACAAAGCCTCTGATTGGACTATAAGAAAAAAGGAAGCACCAATCCAGTTGCTCAGACTATTTGATTGGCTTCCTTTTTGCTAAATTAAATAGTCCAATCAGAGGCTTTGTTTACGAATCTTTTGTGAATTTCAACTCACAATTTGTTCTTGTTGCTTGCAAATTGCTCAGAGCAATCTCCCTATCAAAAAGACAATATTGTGAGACAATATTGCAATGTTGCTTGCAAGAGAACATCTGGTTTGACTGTAATGCACTTATCATTTGTTTTCACCACCCCCTGTAGGGTAGGGGATTTGACAACAAATTCTCAACCTGGAGACGGGCAATTGACATCAATTTGCGTCAAATTGTACTGGACATCATGGCTTAATTGGGCTTGGGACGAGTAATGGTATCTCGACGTTTTTCAACCTCATGCTGGACATTTTTCAAAATAAGTTGTTTTCAAGATGGATTATTGATCCAAGTATGGATTATTATTTTATTAACAATTATTCGCCGAAGGCGAGGTGATTATCGGTGAATAAAAACCGAGACAAAGTCGAGGTTTTTATTCACGATAATCACCGAGTCTGAGGTGAATAATTGTTTTAGTATAATTTCATGGGTGATTATTTGGAAAAAAAATTAAAAATGCACATTTCTTCGTCTTTTAATTATTGACAAAACGGCTTCGGCCGCCACTTTGAAAATCACTTAGGTGATTATCGCGTAATAATCACCTCAACGGTAACCAATCAGCGTGGAGAATTTTCAATAATCACCTATGTAATTATACTAATATGGATTATTATTCAAGTGCTGAAATAGAGATATTATTAAAGAAACAAACCTTTCTGATGTGGCAGAGATATTCAAAAGTTGCTTTTTTTACCCTTTAGAACAAGTTTTTATTGTGTGTGACACAATATTTTTTTATTGTGTATGACTAAATGTTTCAAATTGTATGGCCGGACCACGTTACAAATATCGTGAAATTGTTAACAACTCCTACCCTTCCCACAGGTTTTTGACTCAGAAATTGTGCCCTTGGGTGGGGAATTTTACCAAAAAAAATTACAAAATGTCAAATGCCTGTGGGTTGCCCCTGGGCATGGTAACCTGAAGTTCAGGCCCTAATCACAGAATAGGGCCTGACACAAAATCTATCTAAAGTGTGAGATTCCCGTCCATCTCATGGACGGGAAATCTGATTGGTTGATCAGCATCACGAAGGATTTTGATTGGTTGCAAGTTTACATAAACAACAGTTTTAAAAATAGCTCGGTCAAGGCGACAATTAATATAAAGGTCAAACGCACATACAAATTCCATTATCGATTTCTTCGAATTTCTTTTTCTTTTATGATTTATGGCAGAAAATAAATCAAACAAACAGTATTTTGAAAGGGCTTTATCAAAATCTCGGACGAATTTTGGACACACGACGCCGAAAGAACAGCCAAACTAAGTCATGTAATTTCAAAAGCTTGTTGACAGCCAAGATGTTCTGCCAACTGGCTTCACCGGCAAAAGTCTTATTTTTAATATCAGGTCCTACCGGCATTGTTTTCTGAGCTACATCGCCTTCTTCGTGGTACGACTGAGAATTTCATTGTTGCTGTTGTTAGCCCGTTTTAATAAAGTATATCCCTAATATCCGCATCCAGCAAGTTGAGACCTTGAGAAAGCTTGGCAGTCAAGCCGTGCACAGAACTGACTAATTAAATCTTTGTCTGAATCTTATTTATATAAAAGTACCTTGAATTTTTAAGTTTAATTATAAAGCAAAATGCACACTCTGCGGACATGTTCATGAGAATATAATTTTTTTGTGCAACGAAATCTACAACACTTGTCAATCATACTGCATGTTGTGTCTAAAAATAACATGTGGGCATCTCACGGTCTAGACAGGTTTTGTGTTAGGCCCTATTTCAAATTAGGGCCTGAACTTCAGGTTATGGGCATGGTGGAAACGAAAGATAGACCTGTACATAAAACATTCCAACTGAAGATATAAAATTTACATTACAAGAAATGAAAACATAATGCACACAATTTTGAGACGGGCAATTGACATCAAATTGCGTCAAATTGTACTGGACATCATGGCTTAATTGGGCTTGGGACGAGTAATGGTATCTCGACGTTTTTCAACCTCATGCTGGACGTTTTTCAAAATAAGTTGTTTTCAAGATGGATTATTGATCCAAGTATGGATTATTATTTTATTAACAATTATTCGCCGAAGGCGAGGTGATTATTGGTGAATAAAAACCGAGACAAAGTCGAGGTTTTTATTCACGATAATCACCGAGTCTGAGGTGAATAATTGTTTTAGTATAATTTCATGGGTGATTATTTGGAAAAAAAATTAAAAATGCACATTTCTTCGTCTTTTAATTATTGACAAAACGGCTTCGGCCGCCACTTTGAAAATCACTTAGGTGATTATCGCGTAATAATCACCTCAACGGTAACCAATCAGCGTGGAGAATTTTCAATAATCACCTATGTAATTATACTAATATGGATTATTATTCATATTATATTTAATTATATAAAATATAATTTTTTTGTGCAACGAAATCTACAACACTTGTCAATCATACTGCATGTTGTGTCTAAAAATAACATGTGGGCATCCCACGGTCTAGACAGGTTTTGTGTTAGGCCCTATTTCAAATTAGGGCCTGAACTTCAGGTTATGGGCATGGTGGAAACGAAAGATAGACCTGTACATAAAACATTGCAACTGAAGATATAAAATTTACATTACAAGAAATGAAAACATAATGCACACAATTTTGCCACGAGGGGCCAGCCAACCAACCCCCACTCCAGTTTATAGGTGGGTGTAATATACCGATCAATTCGAAACTTCAACCCCCCCCCCCCCCCGGGCATATCCCGGGAATTTGACTTCAAGTCTTCTCCAGGGAGTAGGGAATTCGACGTTCTAAGTCTTCCATGTGGTGGGGAATTTGAACCGGAAGTCTTAAAATTTTGCCCATTTTTCTGTGCTTCCTGCATGCACAGAAAAAACTTCACATTGGCGGCAAATAGAGTTTTCTCAGATTTCGAGGGAAGCTGCCTCAATTTGTGAAAAACTGGCTCGAAGAAACAGGCATGGAAAAGCTATGTGCTTCATTTGAAGGTATGTACTACAAATTTGTGTTAAACTGTTAAATTTCCATAAGGTTTCCAAACTTTTTAAGTGAATTTCGCTATCTTGCCGAAAAACATTTCGTATATTTTGCATTTTTTGTATTTACTGTTTCATAATTTTCATATGAAGGTGGGGAATTTGAATGCTTAAGTGGGGGCATTTGAAAACATTTTTGGCACAGGGGGTGGAGAATTTAATCAGTCAAATTTCAAAAAGTTCAAATTCCCGGGGTCGGCCCGGGGGGGGGCATGTTGAAGTTTCGAATTGATCGATACATAAACAATACCTATCCGACAAATATATCTCTAAACTGATATACTTGAAGAGTCAAATCCCTACAAAAGCAAAATCGTATACCTTTCAGAAAGAGAAATAAACAATATTCGCAGGGAATCGCAGCTCTATCGACGCAAATTTTGAAATTTATACCTCGGAAATTTATACGACAGCATGAGCATTCCTTGAATCACACTTTAACAGTTTCGTACCGCGGTCTTCTTCACCTCAAATCATTCCAAGTAATTTACACTTCTTTTCAGAATAACACTAGTCTATAATCACATCATTTTTCTCTTCAAAAGAGTTAATATTTTTGCAAAAGGTATAGATTATATTCAGTTTTCACCACAAGTGCTGACAAAATCAAATCATACCCGCGCATTGTGCTTCCACTTATCAAATTCGAATATCCTTAATATCCTAAATCTCGTTTTAATTTTTTGGTGCGATCCAAAGGTGATATGAGGTAATATGTTCTGCAGAAAGATCTTTCAGTGGGCATGTGCTAAAACCTGGACGATGAACGATGGTCGCGTCCAGGTTTTATTGGACGATGGACGATGGACGTCCATCGTCCAGGTTTTTGTAACATCCGGGAGTTAGCACTTCCGGCGGGAAAAAACAGGCACCTCGAGGAGAACTAGACAGCTGTATTAACAAGGGAGTTTTACTTAGCATAGTTGGGTTTTAAGGTTAAAATACTATACATTTGGCGACGAGATAAAATGGCAACTCATGGAAAACTGAAAGAATATGACTCACAAGAGGAATGGAGTCAGTATATTGAGCGGTTGGAATTTTATTTCGAAGCAAATGGCGTGGACGACGAAGCTAGATAAACACACAGAATAAAGACATACAGAAGTGTAACTTCCATTACGAAACCGTAAGGCGCTTTTTACCGAAATAGCTGGCGGCCATGCATGTTCTTAGCAAGTGCCCTAAAGAGAGGCATTCACCCCCCTGGAATATTAAATTTTCAATATGTTTTCAGGGGGGAGACTGCCTCTTTTTAGGGCACTTGCTAAGAACATGGCGGACTGAAAAAATCCCTTACGCGCATTTAATAAGAAGATACACTTCTGTATGTCTTTATTCTGTGATAAACAACAAGCGATATTATTGAGTGTTTGTGGTAGCAAGACGTATAAGTTGATTCGGAACTTAATCACGCCGAATAAACCGTCAGAGAAGACGTTTGCAGAGGTAGTAGAACTTGTACAACAACATCAACACCCAAAACCGTCGGTGCAACGATTCACGTTTAATACTCGGTTCAGGAAACCTGGTGAGTCAATTGCTTCGTATGTAGCTGAATTAAGAAGTCTTTCAGAACATTGTGATTTCAAGAGTACCTTAGAAGAGATGTTACGTGATCGGTTGGTGTGTGGAATAAATGACGAACAGATTCAGCGTAGATTGTTAGCAGAAATTTCTCTCAACTTTAAGAAAGCCATAAAAATAGCTACATCAATGGAGACTGCAGTAAAGAATTCACGAGATTTGACACATCAGATAGCCAATGCAAATATAAATACTGAGAAACCTGCAACATTACACCGTGTGGACAACCAAGGACAAGGAAACCAACCATGGTCAAAGCCTGAATGTGGTCGGTGTGGGGGTAAACATGACCCGCAACAATGCAAATTTCGCGATGCTGAGTGTTTCCGGTGTCACAAGAAAGGACACATAGCAAGAAAATGTCGAAGCAACACTAAGACGACTGGAAAAATCAACGAAGCGACAATCCTAAATCAGGCACTAGCAGCAACTATCTAAACATGAAGGATGACGAGATCGAGGAGGAAGACGACAACTATGGGATTTATAGTCTGGGCAAAGGGCAAGCTGAGCCATATGTTGTTGATGTACTGGTGAGCAATGAAAGTCTAAAGATGGAAGTAGATACTGGTGCTGCAGTTAGTGTAATGAATGAGGATACATATACATTATTGAAGAAAAAACACCCAAACCTAGAGCTGAAGGAATCAAAGGTAAGGCTAAATACCTATACGGGAGAGCAAGTTAAAGTGTTGGGTCAGCTGGAGACTTCGGTGAAGTATGAAGATCAAGAAGGCGTATGGCCTTTACTAGTCATAACAGGGAAGGGCCCTAACTTGATTGGCAGAAATTGGCTTCAAAAGATTAAAATAAATTGGAAGAATTTATTTCAGTTAAAAGAGGACAAGAATACCTCAGTCAAAGTTAATAAGGCAAGACCTGCTCCCTATGCATTGAGGGAAAAAGTAGAAAAGGACTTAGAAAGATTGCAAGAAGAGGGAACTATAGAGCCTGTCCAGTTCGCAGATTGGGCAGCGCCAATCGTACCAATCGTTAAGGATGATAAGTCGATAAGAATTTGTGGGGATTATAAAGTAACTGTCAACCAAGCTGCAAAGTTAGACAATTACCCGATTCCCAAGGCAGAAGATCTTTTTGCGACTTTAAGTGGTGGAGAGAAATTCACCAAGCTCGATATGAGTCAAGCCTATCAACAAATCTTATTGGAGGATGAATCAAGACAATATACTACCATCAACACACACACAAAGGACTTTTTCAGTACAATCGATTGCCATATGGAGTGTCCTCGTTCCCTAGGATTTTCCAGCGTACTATGGAAAACCTACTGCAGGGGATTCCTTTCGTGGTTGTGCGAGTGGATGATATTTTGGTCTCTGGTTCGAATGATGAGGAACATTTAGCAAATTTAGAAGAAGTTCTAAAACGGTTGTCAGAGCATGGGTTACGCCTAAAGAAGAAGAAGTGTGCCTTCATGGTGAACGAGGTGGTGTATTTAGGCCAGAAGATAAATAGCCAAGGAATACAACCAATCCAAGAGAAAGTCAGAACCATCACCAATGCACCGGCACCGACAAATGTGTCTGAAGTTCGATCATACTTGGGAATGATCAACTATTACCAAAAGTATTTACCAAATTTATCAACGATTCTGGCACCACGTACTGCACAGCCTGTTGGAAAAAGGGAAAAGTTGGAAATGGAGTGAAGAGCACCAAGAGGCATTTAGAAAATCCAAAGAGTTATTGAAGTCCTCACATCTATTGGTGCATTATGACCCGGAGAAGGAGTTAATACTGGCTTGCGATGCCTCACCATATGGCTTGGGGGCTGTTTTGTCACACCGGATGGATGACAA